GTAGTTAAAGTGTTACAATTTACCACATTAACAAAATATAGGAGAAATAGATACCTAAGCAGGAAAACCATGGTTGGATATGCAATCATTTCAATAATTATGTAATAAAAGCTTAACAAAATCTCAGCACACATTTGTAAAAACTCACAGAAAACTAGGAACAGAATCAAAGTTCCTTCAACTTGATAAAAGATACCTAGGGGGAAATCCCAACAAATAATGCACAGGTGAAACACTGCTTCCCCCTGAGAATAGCAAAATGCAAAGATATCCTATCCTACTCCTATCTGAGAACTGGAGATTATAGCCAGTCCAATAAAGCAGAATTTAATTTRAATGATTTTTAAAAGATCAGAAAGAAAAAGTCAAATCTTTATTTGCCAACCATGATTGTGTATTAGAAAAACCTAAAGCTACAAGAACCAATACATGAGTCCAGAAGATCCAAACACACAACTCTGCTGCATTTCAATATTCTAAAATTAGCAATAAGAAACCGAAATTTAAGGGCTGGGATTGTGGCTCAGCGGTAGAGCACTCACCTAGCATGTGTGAGGCCCTGGGTTTGATCCTCAGCACCACATAAGAATAAATAAAATAAAGGTATTGTATCTAACTACAACTAAGAAATAAATATTTTAAAAAAGAAACTGAAACGGTGGCACATGCCTGAAATCCCAGCAAATGGGGTAGTTGAGGCAGGAGGGCTCTAAGTTTGAGGCCAGCCTCAGCAACTTAACAACAAGGCCTGTCTCAAAATAAAAAGGGTTGGGGATGTGGGTCAGTGGTAAAGTGCCCCTGGGTTCAAATCCCCAGAACTCTCTCCCCAAAAGGAACAAACTTGCCAACATTCAGTAATATAAATTAAAAACAAAACATTATGCTAGCTAGTCAGATATAAGAATGCATAGAATATGATTCCATTTACTGTATTAAAGACAAATCTATAGTGATAGAAAACATTAGTGATTGACTAGATAAGGGAAACAGAAAATACTGACAGTTTTTTACGAGACCTGGAATATATAGTAAATAGGTCTAACAAATAAGATGAGAGTGCTAATGAGGCAGAGGCAATATGTAAAGAAATAATGGCTGAGAATTTCTGAAGCAAATAAAAAACAGCAATTTACAGACAAAATAAGCCAAAATAACTCAAGAAAATAAAACGAATTCTCCCTTGGATACATTATAATGAAATTACAGAAAACCAAATAAAGAAACAATCTTAAAAGGTAAAAAGAGAGGTTACCTTCTGACAGCTAAATTCTCAACAATCACAATTAAAGCTGGCAGAGAGTGGTCTATCTTCAATGTGCTGGGGTAGAAAGGTCCTGCCACGCTAGCAATCTATAGGTAGATACAAGAGATTTCAAAACACAGTGAAATAAAGATATTTTAAAAGGAGAAAAACATGGAATTCTCATTAGCAGATCCTCACTGAAAAATCTGAAAGGATATTCTTCAAGTAGATGGAAATCATAAATGGAAGGCCTGAGTAACAAGAAACAATAAAAAGAAAATGGTAAAATAGGAGGTAGTATATCTAATCACATTTTGCATAATAAATGTAAATTTTAGGAAAAAAATTAAAATCAAAATACATGATGTAAAATTCACATGTAAATGCATATAGAGTTTTATGTCCCTTGTTTTGGAAGAGGATACAGTACTGATTTCCTTTAGACACTGAAATTAAGAATGCATACTGTAAATTCTAGGGTCATCATTTAATTGCTAAGAGAACAGAAAAAAAGTCCATTGAGGCCTTAGGCYCAATACTCAGCACTTAAATAATATAAAATAAAATAGCTAAAATTCTATTTAGCTATTTTATTTATCTAATTCTATTTGATCAAGTATTCTCATCAGCAGAATGGGTTGTCAAGCTTTTTAAAGTTTTGTGCTTTAATAAATGGAATACAGTACTTTAAGTTTTGAGTGAATTTGAATTTTTTTTCCTAGATTGAGGTCCTCTTTTATTGTAGTTATAATATGGAATTTTGTTTTAATCATTGTAAAGTTGGTATACAATTTACTGGCAAGAATTACATTCATCCATCCCCACTATTTCCAATTCCATGTTATTATTCTAAACATAAACTCTATCCATTAAGCAGTAATTCAGCTTTCCCTTCCTCCAACTTCTGGCAACTTCTAATCTACTTTCTGTCTYTGTATTTATCTGTATACTGTATTTATCTATTCTAAATATTTCAAGTAAGTGGACATACAATATTTATCTTTTTGTATCTAGCTTATTTCACTTAGCATGCGTTCAAGATTCATTAAAGCTACAGCACATGGGGCTGGGGTGTGGCTCAGTGCTGGAGCGATTGCCTAACRTGTATGAGGCACTGGATTCAATCCTAAGCATCACATAAAAAAATGAGTGAATAAATAAAGTTATTTTTAAAAAGTTACAGCATATATCAGAATGTAATTCCTTTTTATGGATGAACAACCCATTGTGTATATGTACCACATTTATCTATTTATTTGTTGATGGAAATGTGGGTTGTTTTCAACTTTGGCTATTATAAATGATGCTGCTATAAACATTCACATCTCTCTCTGATATGTGATCAAGTATCTCTTTCAACAAGTATCTGTTCAAGTTCCTTTTTAATTCTTTTAGACATATACCTAGAAATGGAATTGTTGGGTCAACAAATTGTTTAACTTTTTGAAGAACTGCTAAACTGCACAGTAGTTTCACCATTTTAAACTCCAACCAGCAATGTACAAGGATTCCAATTTCCCCATTTTCACCAAAACTTATTTTCTTTTTTTAAAAAATTATAGCTAACAGTAGATGTGAAATAGTATCTCACTGTGGCTTTGATTTGCATTTCTCTAATAACTAATGCTGCTGAGCATCTTTTCATGTGTTTACTGTTCATTTGTGTATATTTGAAGAAAAGTCTATTTGAATACTTTGTCCATTTTAAATATTGGATTGTCTTTTTGTTGTTAAGTTGCAGAAGTCCTTTATATATCCCAGATCTTGTCAAATGTATAATTTGCAAATATTTTCTCCCATACTTTAGGTGTTTTTTYACTCTCTTCATAATGTTCTTTGATGAAGTCCAATTTATCTATTTTTTCTTTTGTTGCCTTTGCTTTTAGTGTTTGTTTGCTCTTGCAGTGCTGGAGACTGAACCCAGGGCCATGCACATTCTAGGCAAGCCCTCTATCATAGAGCTACATCTCCCTGCTTTTTTTTTAATATTTATTTTTTAGTTCTCGGCGGACACAACATCTTTGTTGGTATGTGGTGCTGAGGATCAAACCCGGGCTGCACACATGCCAGGCAAGCGCGCTACCGCTTGAGCCACATCCCCAGCCCCTCCCTGCTTTTTTAAAGTTTTATTTTGGGACAGGATTTTGCTAAGTTGCCCAGACTGACCCCAAACTTGTAGTCTACCCATCTTAAAAAAAAAAAAAAAAAGGAAGCTTGAAGGCTCACACATGTTAATTTCAAAATGTATTACAAAATAACAGTAATGAATACAGTGAGATACTGGTATGAGAATGTCACATAAACCAATGAAACAGAATTAAGAGCCAGAAATGGACCCTCATGTCTGTGGCCGGTTAATTTTCAACAAAGGTGCCAAGACCACTGAATTGGGAAAGAAGTTTCAACATGAAAAGGTGCTAATTAGACTTCTACACACAAAAGAATGAAGTTTAACCCCTAAATTACATTCCTATGCAAAAAAAGGAACTCAAAACTGATCAAAAGACTAAATTTAAGAGTTGAAACTGTTTTTCAATTCTTAGAAGGGAACATAGGGGCAAATCTTCATGACCATGGATTTGGCAACGGTTTTAAAAACATGCTACTAAAGCCAGGCACAGTGGCACACACCTATAATCCCAACTCCTCTGGAAGGCCTTATTTGGCTTGCTGAGACAGAAATTAATGGCTCTGTCCTCTGCAGTGACTTCCCACCACCATTCCTTCCAGTATCACAAGGTATGACTGTCTTAGTATCTAATTCCTTTCTCCTTCTCCCTCCAAAACTGAAACCCAAAGGAAAACAAGAAATGTTTTTCTGATTCACCTGTCCAAATCTCCATGGTATACAAAGAGTATTTTCATAGTAGGGAAAACAGTCAGTGGATATAAGAAGAATAAGTTCTGATATTCTATTGCACAGTAAGGTGATTACAATTAACAATGTTGTATTAGTTCAAAGTAACTAGAAGAAAGAATTTTAAACAATCTCACTATAAGAAATGATAAATATTTGAGATAAATATGGTAAATACCCTGATTTTATCATTATACGTTATATATGTGTGTGTGTGTGTATAAACATCATTACATTCCATAAATATGTACAATGAGTAATATGTCAATGAAAAACAAGGGCTAGGAATGTATCTCAGTGATAGGGCACTTGCCCAGCATGTATGAGGCCCTAGCTTCAATCCTGAGTACTATGAAAATAAGTGAATAAAATAAAATAGAATACATAAATCCCTAGTGGATGTTTTTGGAATTAAAGCCAAAGAATAAATAAGTTATCAGACAAAAACGGCTTTACTACTGAGAATCCTTTTGAATTTAATATGCTAGATGAACAAAAATTGTTAAATTTTGGAGTCCACAGTTAARAATTCAGGAAATGGAGGGCTCTGGACAGTTCTCTATATGGGTGTGGCCTTAAACACAATTTTGTGTATCTAGAAATAGAGTAATTTGAATGTTTATCATTTTTATCACATCTCTGTTAGTATATCCACTCTAAGGTAGATAGCTGGCAGACTCTAAGTCTCAACATTTCTAGAGCTAGAAAAGGGTTCTGAGAAAGTAAAACATGACTGAGGATTCTATCCTGTGTTTTTAGCTATARGGGAAAGTAGCAATTTGCAATTACATCTGAGGTGGAGATGTGAGAGTCTGGTTCTTTGTAGCATCTTTAGGATTAAGGTCTCTGAGTTCTGAAATTCCCTGAGACTTGGACCCTCAATTAAGGAGCTGGTCTTACTTCTCATTGCAGCGGTATGTGAGGACCGTAGCCCAGAAGCCCAGCACTGAGAGGATGAAAGTTGTAAAAAGCAATAAGGTGACCACGATGACCACAGCCATGATGAAGGTATCCATGACACAGTTGTTGGACTGGGGCATGTGCGAGGCTAAGGAGACAATGGGGCCAAAGCCTAGGCCCAGCTGAAACACAACTTGGCTCCCTGCTCTTGACCACACATTTACGTTGTACAAAGCTGACACCTAAAAGGGAAAAGTCAAGTGTAAGAGAGATTTAAAGAACAAGAGGACGACTATAGCAGAAATGCTGGGGGGACTTGGGGGAAGCACAGAATGAGATGACACAGAAAGAAGGCCTTAAAAACAGGCAGCCATGATAACTTTTGAGGAAGAGATACCTCACCTTGGCAACCAGCAAATGTTGAAGGCCATATATTGCCCCTTCCAGCAGTAGACTCCGGATAAGGAAACAGAAGAGGATGAAATAGGGAAGTACTACCAAGACATACATTACCTGAATTGAGAGTAGGACATATCAGCAATCATGTACCAGTAGAAGCCAAACAACAGTCAGCAGGGATCAAAAATTCTGAGTCAGGAATTAGTAGGAGTTTAAAAAAAAAAAAAGCTTTCAGCAGGAGTCAGGGGCTAGTGGGAGTAAAAGGCTAGAAGGAGTGAAAAATTAGATMCACATGTAACAAAGTGAGGAATGGGTTAGAGCTTTTGAGAATATCAAGGAATACAAAAATGGTGGCTCACCTTCCCAATGGACTGGAGTCCATTGATGATAAAAACACCAATGAGACACCAGGACACAAATAAGGGAAGGCTCAGACTTAAGACCGGTGGCCCACCATCCTCAATTCTGTCTGAAGCCTTCAAGGTCTGCTGGTACCAGAAGTAGATGGAGGGTGTCGTCCGTGCACAGGCTGGATCTGGAGGGACCTGGCTTTGGATATGCCTGCTAGACAGGGTAATCCCTCCCCTCTTCTTTTTTCCCACTCACTTCCCTATACTTTCCCCTCCCAATTATTTTTCCTTCTCTCTTCCTTTTCCTTGTCCCTCCTTCCTTGCTCCTTTCTCCTCTTCCAAATTTCCTTCCAGCTATTTTCCCCTTCTCTTCCTCTCTCATTTCCTCCTCACCAAAGTCACTGGCATTCTTCAATAAGGGACATTTCTCCCATGGAACAGGGAACTGGAAGAAGTGGCTCAAGTAGAAGAGGATCCAAGAATTGAACACATTCGTGTACGTACTGGTGATGAAGCACACCTGGAGACCAGGGAGGAAGTGGCTGGGGAGGAAGACTAGGAACAGGAAAAAGCAGGGGATCTGACAGAGCACTGAGGGACAGAAGGGACTTGACCCATGGACGTTGGGATGTGGGTGGGTATTAAGGTAGGCCTYAGCATCCCAGTGCTCCTCACCATGAAGCTGATGTACCCCACTCCACCAGCCCAGGGGCCAATGATCTTCCACAAATCCAGGCTACCCTGCTGCAGCATCTGGCCAACTGCCATCTCCAGGAAAAGGAGAGGAATCCCAACAAAGACCAGAATGATGATATAGATCATGAAGAAGCTACCTGTGAAAAGGATTTAGGAGGGGTTCTGAAAAACTTCTGGGCTTTCAGTACCCAGATTTATTTACAGGCCCAGGAAGACATGCTCACCACCAGCRTTCATCTGTTTCTACATCCCTCACTGTCCCACATCTGGTCCCCTAGTTCCTAATTTCTGGAAGACCTAAATACCTAATTTCTACCCCACCCATGACCAGGTCTCCAGCCCTATCATCCTCCTGTACCTCTACCCTTTTTCATTCCCCCAGGTATTCAGGCACTTCATACCTATCCCGCTCAAAGTACCAAGTCTCCAACATCTACATATCTCAGAGATGTTATAAATTGAAGACTGGACAGTCTTCTGTCCTGCTAGCCCCTTATGAATCAAGACTTACAGCCTCCTTTGTGAATCCAGAGGTAGACAAAGTTCCAGAGCTGGGTTGGCCTCAAAGAGTAGCCCACCAAGGTCAGAATATAATGAAATTTTTGGGGCCAGAGTGGACGGACAAAGAAGGTACCTTCCTTCTCTGTCACTTCCACCTTTTCCTTCGAGTGTTTCTGCTTCATGATTGAGGTAGCTGTCACATCTGATACAATATTTTGCTTGGGTTGGCTGCTGGCCCGGGTCTGAGCCTCAAAAGCATGCATCTCCCAGGCCTCAGCCTTTGCAGTCCGGGTTGCCAAATCCTGAAACTCTGAAATAGAGGCTGCAGAAGACCAGATGACTGGGTCCTTGCTTTCCAAAATATGGATTTCTGGGAAACCATCATTAAGCTTTGTCAAAGTAGATGAGGTTGTTTCCAGCAAGGATACTGAAGTKTGGGCCTCTATCTCCATCCCAGGAAGAGTCTCACGAGCATCTCTAGCTTCTTCAACAGAACGTTCACCTTTCTGAGTAGACCTTAAGACCATCAAAAACTATAGATTTCAGATTTTATAGTTAGGAATTTATTGAGTTCCAAGACAATTCTTAGTACTTCCTTAAACCAAACCTCATTTCTATCCCTACTACCACTGACATTCAAAGTGCATATGCATGCACACAAACTCATATCCCTCTTACATAAGTTCTATTTTTTTTTTAAGTACCAGAGACTGAATCCAGGGACGCTTAGCCACTGAGCCATATCCCCAGCCCTTTTTAAATATTTTTTTGAGATAGGGTCTACAGAATTGCTTAGGGCCTCACTAAATTGCTGAGGCCGGCTTTGAACTCACAATCCTGCCTCAGCCTCCCAAGCCAATGGGATTACAGGCATGCCCCACCGCACCCAGCAAGTTTTACTTCTTAGAAATGTCTTAATGCAAGAAACAGGGGTAGAGGGGCTGGGGATGTGGCTCAAGCAGTAACGTGCTCGCCTGGCATACGCGGGGCGCTGGGGTTCGATCCTCAGCATCACATAGAAATAAAATAAAGATGATGTGTCCACTGAAACTGATCTCTCTGTCTCTCTTTCTAAAAAAAAACAAAAAGAAAAAGAAAAAGAAACAAGGGTAGGAATCATACTCAAAGGATTTCTGAGACTGAGATACATTCCTTACAGAAGGAGGTACCATTTAAGTTAGACTTTTGAATCAAAGAATCTAATTTAATCCTAATCTTCTTTATTCTTTAGGAAAGTTGTCTTACCTCTATGAACTTTCTCATCTGTAAAGTACTCAGGTCTCTGCTCAAATATTACCTCACCAGAGATGCCTTCCCTGTCTATTTCAAATAGCAGCTACCTACTCACCACTTCTTTCCATCTTACCTCTGTTCATTTTTCTTCCTAGCCTTTCTTTAGCTCCTGATTTTTGATGTTATTATCTAMTGAATGTATCCAGTGTCCATCTCTGCCTCCTGCTCTACACCCAGACAGAAGATGGTACTTACCTCAAAACTGGGGCCACTCTCATCTCTGCTTGCTGTGCTCTCGCCACTCTGACCTTTGGCTGGCTTCAAAAGTCTACAAGACAATGGGCAAGAACTGAGCTGGAAAAGAAAAGAAAAAAAAATGGCTGTAAAAGAGAGAAAGAGAGGGAGGGAAGTGGAGCTTTATTTTAAAGGGAATGAGCATACTATACAAAATCAGAGGTTGCAGGTAGGCCTCAAATCAGCACTGGCACATCTGGGTCACATGGATAATGAACTGTAAGACACACTATTTCCAAAGAGTTCTTGGTAGCTCAGGAAATGTTTACAATTCAATGATATGTCTTTAATTTATCTCTACTATATGTAAGTATGCAATAAAAGAAAAGACTGACAGAAAAATGCATGAACATATAGAAGGGAAAGGACTGTTGGAAAGTTTATATCCTTCTCTCTTTTAGATAGTTGTAACCTGTCTACAAAAAAAGCATATTACTTTAATACTCAAAAAATATATATATATAGCAGCTGCAGGGAACTCTCGAGGATACACAAATGATAGGTTCTCTACACCTGCTGAAAGCTTTCTCAGAAAAACTAGCATTCCCCAGCCCACAATAGCAGACGAAACTGATTTCACTACCRGAGATGCTGGGGCTTCCAGCACTTATCCTATGCAGTGCTCAGCACTGCTCAAAAACAGTTTTGTGGTACTCGAAGGACAATTAAGCGAAAATAGCAGAGATGTCAACTTCTAAAACTGGAAAGCATGGTCATGCCAAGGTATACCTTGTTGGAACTGATATTTTCATAGGCAAAAAATATGAAGATATGTGCCTTTCTACTCATAAGATGGATGTTCCAAGTATTAAGAGAAATGATTATCAACTGATGTGCATTCAAGATGGTTACCTTTCCCTAACAACAGAAACTGGTTAAGTTCGTGAGGATCTTAAACTGCCAGAAAATAAAGTAGGAAAAGAAATAGAAAGTATAATGCAGGTGAAGATGTACTGGTGTCTGTTATGTGTGCAAGGAGTGAAGAATATGCTGAAGCCATAAAGCATTGCAAATAAATGGGGACATCAGGCACGAGCCAACAGTTTGGATCTGGATCAATTGCAGATCTAAAGTTTGGTTCTAAGTTGTTGCCAAAGGTATGACATTCATAAGCAACCTCATTTTTTTTWAACTATTTTGAAGTTGTGCTGGTTCATTTTGCAGGTAGTCAGCAACTCAAAAAATCAATATATATAATTTTTAAAAATTTTGTGTCTTTCCTATAACATTCCTACAGTTTTATTATGTGGGTCCAAGAAACATGAAGCTTCAGCAAATGTGATTTGTCTGAGCAAATCATTACTTAATTTTAATAAAATGATTATTGAACTAGGGTTCTAAAAAAGATAATGTAGCATTTGGTAGTACTGAAGTACCACATTTAAGTTAAATTGTAATCTGCATTAATTTCAGACTTAATGTCATAGAATACGTAGATTATGGATTCAAATTGTTAGTTTCAGTCTGTGTGTGGCAAACAAATCTTTTTTTTTTTAATATTTTTATTAGTTGTGGATGGACCTTTATTTTATTTATTTATATGTGGTGCTGAGGATTGAACCCAGGGCTTCACACATGCTAGGCAAGTGTTCTACCACTGAGCCACAACCTCAGCCCCAACAAATCTTTAAACAAAAATCATGTTATCAAAGAGTATCAGTTATCTTGGTGGTTGTGTGAAATGATATACATTACTTTGGTCATACCATTCTTTGCCACACTGTTGGCAGACTTAAGCCTTAGATGGTGGTTTTAGTACTTGCTTGTCATTGACAGAGGGACACTGAGCTGTTGGGTGAAAATAAACAAGTCACATTGTAAAGATGACAAAAAGGACAGTGGCAAAGGAGGTTGGTAAACTCTAGGTTTTGACTTGAGACCTTTGTAATTAGCATAAAAATTAGGAAGCAACTTTTTTAAAGAAATTTTTTAGTTATAGATGGACACAATGTCTTTATTTATTTTTACATAGTGCTGAGGATTGAACCCAGTGCCTCACACCTGCGAGGCAAGTGCTCTATCACTGAGCTACAGCCCCAGCCCAGGAAGCAGTTTTTTAGTAGTATTTTTGCTTTTAGCTTTTGACCCCCATAACTCCCTGGCATTGAAAGGACTGACCTGCTTTACAGGACACTGTGCAGTGCTTTTTTTGCAACCATGTTGAATTAAGTGTTGGTATTTATCAGTAATTGTTCCTTTTCAACCATTTTAAAGTAATTTTTTATCTTAAAATATTAGACTTGGACTGGGGTTGTGGCTCAGCAGTAGAGTGCTCACCTTGCACAAGCGAGGCCCTGGGTTTGATCCTCAGCACCACATAAATAAATAAAATAAAGACATTGTGTTCAACTACAACTAAAAAAATAAATATTTAAGAAAAAAAATA